GCTACGAGTGCGGCGAGTTGAGCTTGAGTCTCCTTTTGTATTTCGTCTTGTCTGGCGAAACGCGCCATGACGGAGCTCATGAAGTCGGGCGGAAGGGGTGTTTCGGGTACGGGAGTCTGAGTCGGCTCCTCGCCGGCGGTTCCGGAGACGGTTCCGTCGTCAGGCATGTCTAGATCTGATAACGTTGCTTTGTTCAGAGTCCCACGGTGGGCGCCAAATTGTTTGAGGTGAAAATGGTTTGAAACAATATAAAGAGAAAGATGAGGGCGAACAAAGACGTTTTTATTAGATCTAAACAAGGAGTTACAAAGAGAAGAGTAAAGAGGCGGACTAGCCGGAAATACAAGATGGTGAGTAAACGGGAAGGTGACTAAACGGGAAGGTGAGTAAACAAGAAGGTGACTAAACGGGAAGGTGACTAAACGGGAAGGTGAGTAAACCCTAGATCTAACCACCTAGTCGCTAAGAAACCCTAGATCTAGTCGCCAAGTGAGTATGTCGAATTGTCCCCCCCCCCTCTTGTCGCTTCCTCTTATCCCTTTTATAGATCTTGTCCTCGTGTTCGCCCTAGTTCACTTGAGCCTTGTTGGGCTTGATTCTCGTCGGGCCCGTTTAGTAGCCCGGGTAAATCCTGCTTCCACCGAGTCTTCTAGAACGCTCTTTGTCGCGCTACTAGACACGTCCTCGTGCTGAGGCGTTTCCTACGCGTTTAGTGGGCCAAGTAGATTGTCACATCGGACTAAGCTTCTCCATTTGATGGGCCTTGTGGAGGGGTATAACCCATCTCCTACAATAAGAATGGCGATGTGAAGCTGTTTGGCACAGTGCTAACCGCAGATGATAATGGAAGCAAGCAAAAATTGAATCCAGGCGGAAGTATCAGATCAGCGTCAACCTTGAGCGGGGTACCATCAGACAGGACATCAGTACATTAATCAACAACACTTTCAGAATGTTCCTATTAAGAGCTACAGTTTCTGGGATGGCAACAGAATCCAGACCGTGCTCACATCGTTGCCAGAGTCTTGGCAAGTTGCTTGCAAGTTACCCGAAGCACTTACCTCGCGTCTTAAGCAGCAAGTTGTCGTTACCAACGAGATTCAGCTGGATGTTAATGGAATTTTGAGCTTTGGGGAGCATATCGATGATAGAGCAGATGTCTCTAGCGGTAAGGATGAAGGTAACGTTGGAGAAGGGTAAATGGTTTAGGAGAAGCAACCAGGTGTGAACCAAAATCTTCTTAGGGTCGTTATTAGTTTGTTTTGGAGGATTGGCATGTTCTTTGTTCGTCATCCTGTATCATATCTCATTTCTGTCCTTTTTTCTCTTCTTAATTTAGAAATGTGAAGTCAGTATAGGCATTTTGTTTTCTTTCTTTTTGTTCAACTTAAGTTAGGTGCCTCCACAAAATTCATAGCTGATGTTTGTATTTGTAATGTAGCTGATAATAACATGGGAAGAGAGCTAACCTTAGCTCTATGTATGTTTTTTTCAAAGAAGATAACACATGAAAAATCACATCTAATGTTGTCTGGTGAAAGGCTAATTCAACTCGACTTGCAGGAGGAAATACCTTTTTCTTCTGCCAAATAACTTGTTTGGAGGATTGTTGGTAATGGCGCCACTATTTTTACAACCTGCAGACATGATTATCAGCTGATTTAGATAGCTGCACAGTTGCAAATAAGTTCAGATTTTGATTAGTGTGGCATTAACATGGGTGGGTTTATACATTGTGAGTGTGCAACAGGTTTGGTATCGCTACTTCATGTGCATGAAGATGATATCCGCAATCCCCGGGAACAGCTTGACTCGGTCTTTGGTAACCCCTGCATGGAAATATTCAGGCAAGGTGCTTCGGTATAATTATGACATATGGTACAACCAAACCAACACTAGTCTATACACTAATAACCAATTCAGACTCCACAAGAAACTACCCATTGCATTAGTTAGCTCCGTATTGTTTAATGTCAGACCTTTGATCTCAAGGAAACTAGAAGATATATTGGAAAATGCAAGTACGAAAAATAAAATGTAAATTTGTACCCGTCTTCAGCAAAAGGAGTAGTAGCATCTACAAGATCTGGATCAACACACTTCGGTTGTCCTCCCGCAACATAAAGTGGGTCCCCTGTATTTTGGTCAGCATGTAAGCTATATCTGCTTCTAAGATTTCATGTTTGCTGATTTGCATTAAGATCCTATAAACATCATCGCTTCTTTCATAGACTATTGCCAAAAGAATACTCATGTCTAGCAAAACCTTCCTAGAATCAGTTTATAGCCAGTTGAAACATCGCTTGGGAGTTGGGACTATCAAAATATGATTTCACCACAAACACAATTCATGTTCTAGACTACTGTATTTCTCGAGCAGACAGCTTGTTAGATTGTTCTAGAATTGCCTAGTTGATAAATAACGAAAGTTGCAAAACAAGTCTCTTAAGAAATAGACTGAAAGCAAGGGGTTACTGACTCCATGTAAATCATGTCTCTCAAAGCTATGTATCCAACTTTTCTTATTATATACTAATGAAGGAAACATAATTTTTTACCTACTAATGGATGTCCCATAAATGCAAGATGAATCCGGATCTGATGTGCTCTTCCAGACTGTATCTCTACCTGTTTTGCATCAGTAGTAACAAGGTCATAATTTTAAGAACTTCGTTTTGGTATTACTATCTCATTCGCTTTTGTCCTTGTGTGAAAGGTGATATTGGAAACAGAAGGAAAACCTTAACAAGCGTGCAATCTCTCAGCCTGTCCCTTTCCAAAACAATTACTTTGCTCAAAGCAGGTTTGCCTGACAAGAGCAAAATCACGAAACCATACTGTGGATTATTCTGTTTCTTTAGCTACTGGTGCTAAGATATTAGAACTAACCTTCTGAAAAAGCAACATATAATCCTTTTGCTACGCCAGGATATCGAACCACCCCGATAGGCTGTTTGATAACTACCTTCAAAATGTTAAATAACAAAGATGCATTGTCAAGAGAGGCTAGCTCAGTTGCATATTTAAGCATTTGAAATCAATGATCATGGCAAGTAATACATAGCCTTGCCTCGTCTTCTTCAAGTATACCACTCGCTAGTGCTCGATATATCTTTGAAATTTTTCTTACGGTTCCACACTCTTGACCCATGTTGCTGAAAGAATATACTTCATATTGGTATAATGTCATGAAAGTGCAATAAAAAAGAAAGAAAAAACTCTGACACGTAGGCTCTTATGGTCAGCATAGACAAGGTGGTAAATGAGAAGGAATCTAAGATCCATCGTTTATTAATCTTTTCAAAATCACCTTTTAGTAGAGCATGAACTCTAATGATAGATGATTTCTCAAGTAACATGGATTACACCCCATTATGTTAGCTACTAGTTGACACCTTATCCAAAAGGCTAAGAATGTTATACCCATTCTCTACTATAATGTAAGACTTGTTATCTGGTATAATATTAGACCTGTTCTGTTTTAGTTTCCCCCAGATAGGTATGTTTTGTGACTTGCTACCCTTGGTAAGTAATCCCAAGTTCCTATTCCGTTATAACTTTATACTAATACATGCTTAGTGACCATTATCAGAGGGTTATACAGGAAAATGTAATCAGTTGGAAAAACCTTCACATATAGCAAAGATCAACTACGCAACAGTTCTAGAAAGATTTTTTTCGAATCACTAACCGATATATAGAGAACAGCAAATATCTTTTCAGAATGAGCTGAGTAAACAGAAAAAAAGAAAGGCAGGAATCATGTGTGAACTCACCCAGACCCGACAAGAGACGTCCCCTCAGCAAAATAAGCTGAAAGTTTAGTTTTTGCAAGCTTTGTCTTTGCACAGAGAAGTATACCTGAAAAAAGAGTCCATCCGTTGAAACAAATGAAATAAATTGAAAACATTATATCTTAACAACTTCTCCAGTAGAAAGATAAGATCATTGTAAAGATGCTTCTGCAATTTGTACTGGAAAATCCAGTGAAGAGTTCAACATTTATCAAGGCTTGTAGAATACTTGAATCTTAGTTGGTTTATAAGCTAACCTGATGTTCCTCTCCCCAGACGATGTACAGGGACAGGGTGTGCAATAGCTCCAGTTGAAGAATTTTTTTTACCAAAACACCACTGCAGTTGCGTCAACACAGTCCTTTGCTGGAAAAGTCCGCCAGGCAATACTTGGAGTCCAGACGGCTTGTTTAAAGCTATCTGCATTATATGAAGCCCATCAAATACACATCACTCCAAGTTGAGAACAAAAGTTAAAAGAAGAGAAAAAAAAAACAAGAACAAGAAGACGCATTGGTCATCATGTTTTGTATATAGCAGCAAGAAAGCAAAGGAAACAAGTTTTAAAAAATGTTTTGTATCAGAGGAGAAGAAGTTACCAAATTATCATCTTCATACAAAATATCTAGCAAGTATGGCGTGTCAGGTTCCTTCCAAGGAAGCCTGTGGTAAACCAACTTGGAACCACTTCTGACAGAGAAGTAAAAGAAACAAAACAATGACACAACCTTTACTAAAGCAAAACTCTTTATTAGTGCTAGACTTATTATAACAACAAAACAAGTTCCCAACCTAAGGAGTGTGTTGGGATCTTTTACAACTTCCCCATCAACTTGTATCTGCAAAAGAAATGAGAAATGAAATTACAAATTCTCCAGAATCAAAGCGAGAAATTACGTGAAAAGAGTGAGTAACCTGTCCGTTTTGGATTCGTTGAATCCACCTGAAAGATGAAAAGAAAAGAAGTTAAAGAATGAACTCGTAGAAGATGAGTAAATGAGGAGGAAAGAAGAGTAGAACCCAAGCAATGGAGCTGAGCTCTTGTACTTAGTGTAGTAGAAATCTGACACCGTCGTTAACTCTGTTTACAAACTCCACAAAATAACAACAGAGTTAACACACAAAAAAGAAAAGGAAAAACTTTATGAATCTAATAGTGGGAGGATGACCTGAGTCAGAAGATGAGACAACATCTTTGTATGTCAAACCATCGTTGAGCTCGGGCCACGGCAAGCCAATTTGGTGCGGCGACATCTTGGTCGGAACCGCCGAGTCAGACTTTTCTGTTCTCGTTGTAACGAATTAGTTTTAATCTGTGATGTATTAAGTAAGGCCCATTATGGCCCATCAGCCATTGGATCATTGGGCTTTAGACACAGAGCTAGAATGTTTGGTTCACACGCAACCTAATTGGAGGGAAATAGAGCTGTGTAACTACTAGCTAGTGCTGCTTTTGTCTCTGTTTAGTAAACAGTGTTTACCGGTAGGGATGTTCGGGGGTATCTGTTCGGATTCGGTTCAGGTTTTGAGTGCTCAGATTTAGGGATAAAAGATCTTTTTGAATATTTTATATATTGAGGTGGGTTTGGTTCGGATCCTCTTGGATTCTGATGTGGTTTGGATATCCGTTTGGATTTGGGGTCATTTTTCTCATGCTCAGCCCTACTGTTTAGTACTTCATAATCACATTCTTGATATGTAGGAAAGCAACACATTATGTGCAACCGTGCATGATAATGAAGACAAAGAATGCAGTATATGTATAAAAGAATTCAGTATGTGTATAAAAGAATAGGTGTATTAACAAGATACTACAACAAGCATCCAAGCAGGTGATGGAGAAACAACAAGCAAAAAAAGAAAGAGAGATAAAAAGTGAAAGAGAAGGGGGAAGGATTGACATTGTTGTGTGTATGAGGAGAAGGAGGAGAGAATACAAAAGATCTGCAGAGAGGGCAAGTGAGATTGCCACGGAGAAGCCAAGGTTCAATGCAATGAATATGGAAGAGATGATTGCATCTTGGGAGATGTGTCACTGCATCCTCAGCCTCATAATCCACAAGACATATTGAGCAGCATATCTTCTCCTCTTCCTTCTTCTTTGGCTTGTCCCCAAACATGAAACCGGTTAGGTGGTAATCTTCATGGTGTTGTGATTCATCAAATCCGCACTGCTTCTTCAATCTCTCCAAGGGAATGCACACACAAGTGTAGAATACTATGGCTACTGTGCACAAAGGTGACCGCGGAAACAACAAAGAGAACATTTATTTTTCTTCAGCTTGCTTATTTATCTCACTACTTCCCCTCCATTTTATATAGACATCTCCGAAATGATCATCGAACCTTGAACTTGATAGAGTTGGGACGGCGCCGACCAGACCACCCCCTCTTTGTTATTATATTCATTTGTTGTGTTTCATTTTATTAAAGTCAGCGATTCTCCCAGCTTCAAGAAAGCTTAAGGAGAGGTTATGGTCAACGTACAAGATGAACATGCTTCCATCTTAAGCATTATGATAGTACTTGCATATAATAATAGAAATGACAAGGGGAAACAATGCAAGAGTCACATGACGGCGTTATAATACAAAAGAAAATGGCACTAAGATGCACCACCCTTCTAAAGTCACAATGATCCCTGAAACCTCGGATTCATCACATTACATAGTCAAGGCCTCAAGGGCATGCATCTATCTTATTAAAAACCTGGAGTCTTTCCACCAAAACAGGCCTTGAACACGAGTTCACCAATATAATACAGCCGACCAAATCAACTAAAGATCTCCCAAGTAACTCACTATTAACTCCAACCATTTTGCTATATCAAATGTTTTGTGTACTCGATAGTACTTGAATTCAATTCTTCACATAACCTTTTTAACTTGTTGATGATAAATTTCGTAAAGGACAAGTAAAGCCACAATTTTAACTTTTATGATATGGGACCTGGATTTCCCAAGTTGAGAATATCCAAAACAAAAGAAACTGATGACTCTAAAACACTAGTAGAATTTTTTTTATATTATATAGAATTAAGACATGATCATGATCAGGATTAGCAGTTACAATTGTAGTAAATAGTTAGTTTACCTTTACTCGAAATCAAACATGTTAAGTTAATTATCCCAAACCTGAAAAAAACCTTTTGGCTAAAAGACATTAAGAAAGTCTTGAGATATCAATCAAAATCTTACATCAAAATCAGAAGTCTAAAGAAATAATGTCTAGTATATAAAAAAAAGGTAAACAATCTATTTATCCACGACAGGTACCATATAACATCAGATTCCTACCAAACTATGACCCCATGCTAGATCCCCTCGAATTGAAAATTACGAACCTATTTTTCTTCGAGTCAATATTTTAAAACTTAAATACCCACATACAATGGTTTTAATTGGTTTATTCTTAATCAAATATCTTAAAATCAGTTAAACCAAACCAAAATTCAATTTTTGTTTAAACCAAAACCAAACTCATTTTTTTGTATAAAATAATGGGTTTATTATACAACGGAAGAAGATTTTGTTTTGTTTATAGGAAAACAAAGATGCATTACAAATGGAAACTGATAACAAAATTATAGGAAAATTGGATTTTGGGTTGGCTTACTTGATTTTAAGATGTTTGGTTAAGAATAAATCAATTAAAACCATTGTATATGGCTAATTAAGTTTTGAAGTATTGATTCGAAGAGAAATATATTTGTAATTTTCAATTCGTGGAGATGTAACATGAGATCATAGTTCGGTGGGAATTTGATATTATATGATAGTTCTTACGGGTAAATAGATTGTCTATCCTATAAAAAATGTCATACTCTCAGTATGAGAAATTTTGGGAATGAGTCCGGAAAAAAAAGTCATTCAAATTTTACCATTTGAAGTTAAAGTAATCGGTTTGGTAGAGTAGAGTTGGACATGTACTTAAGAAAGCCCAACAGAAAGAGAGAGTTCCTATCCATGAGTGGCTTTCTTGTACTCAGGCTTGGTTACTTCCTCTGTTGTTGACTTGTTGTAAATACAAAGACTCTAAGCAAGTCTTTCAAGAATTACTGCACAAAGCCACATTTAATACCGTTACTCATTTCATTAAGCAGCGAAAAAAGGTCATTCTGCCTATTTGTTTTCCAATGTTAAGAAATCTCTCAGTCGAGCACTTATCTTTTTTCTTCTGTCAACAGTCGAGCACTTATCTAATAGAGTAAAATTTTATTTTGTTTACCTCTGGTTTATTCAATCAAAGATAAAAAAAAAAATCTCACATTTTATAAACCAAATGTTATACCGACCGGTTTACTTTTTATAACCAAACCGCAACTCTATCTCTGTGGATAAGCTCTTCTGCTTCCCACTGTCAAAATCTCAATTCAATTCGCAAAGGCTCTTCGCGAAAGGTACTCTCACTCCTCTCTACTCTTTCTTCTCCAACCTCTTAACCATCATCATCTAAATTACCCTCTCTGAATAAAAAGTTCATCTTTTTGCTTGCTTGTTTGTTGTTGTTATTGTAGTTGCGTTCATGGAGGTGGTGAGCAGTACGAGCAGCAGCAGCATGAGCATCAAGCGCTTCTTAAAAGAAAAAGGTTTCGACGAACAGAGCATCGACAAGATGCTCACAAAGTGCAAACAGTTAGAGAAGGCCCAAACCGACGTCGCTTCAGAAAACTGGGACTACCTAAGCAACATCGTCGGCATAAAAGACAGGAAACTCCCTTACATCGTCTCCCGTTGCCCCAAGATCCTAACTTTACGTCTCCACGAGAGACTCATCCCCATGTTCGAGTGCCTCTCCTCACTAGGAAGAAACCCACGTGAGGTTACTTCAGCTATCACCAAGTTCCCTCCCATACTCGCTCACAGCCTCGAGGAGAAGCTCTGTCCACTTCTTGCTTTCTTTCAAGCATTGGGTGTCCCTGAGTCACAGCTTGGGAAGATACTTCTTTTCAACCCGAGGCTTATCAGTTACGGTATTGAGACCAAGCTTGCTGTTATTGTCGGGTTTCTGGCTAGCCTTGGTCTTGACAGAGATGGTGGTATGATTGGTCAAGTTCTGGTTAAGCACCCTTTTCTTATGGGGTATAGTGTTGAGAAGAGGCTGCGTCCTACTACTGAGTTCTTGAAATCATCGGTGGGTTTGAGTGATGATGGGGTTCTGTCTGTGTTTATGAACTTCCCACAAGTTGTGTGCAGGGATGTGGATAAGATACTTAGACCGAACTATGAGTATTTGAAGGAGTGTGGTTTTGGTGATGCGCAGATTGCGAGTATGGTGGCTGGTTATCCTCCTGTTTTGATAAAGAGTGTCAAGAACTCGTTGCAGCCTAGGATTAGATTCCTTGTGGATGTTATGGGAAGAGGGTTGGGTGAAGTGGCTAGTTATCCTCAGTTCTTTCACCATGGGTTGAAGAAGAAGGTGGAAGCGAGGTATAAGCTTGTTAAGAAGAACAATGTTGACTGCAGCCTTAGAGATATGTTGGACTGTAACACAAAGAAGTTCCATGAAAAGTTTGGCTTTGGAGAGGTAACTGCATCCTAATGTGATCTTATAGCTTTTGTTCCTCTCTAGTTTTGCTTCATCACTATCACTCCTTGTAAGCTATATTTCTTGCATGAGCTTTGCTTCATCAATCCTGTTATTCATGTATCATTGCTTCCATATTTCATCTGCAATTTTATATCATTGATTAAGATAGAACAACCAAGCCACACTGGCGTGATCAAGTGCATATCCATAGAGCGTGCTCTTCCCCTTGTTTTCTAGTTAAATGGTAGAACTTGATGACAAGTTTGTTAAAGGACAAGTCAAGCCACAGCGATCTTCAAGTGGAGAATCCAAAGTTATAACAAAAAAACTGAGTACTTTGTAAAACATTACTAGAAGACTAGTCATATTGTTTTGAGCAACCTTTCTTTCTTATTACAGTCAAGATCAGCAGTTACAGTTCAAGTAACTGACTAGCTAGCCTTTACTAGAAAATCAAATTTATTAATCCAATTGCTCCCTACTCCTGTGGGACTTTCTTGTACTCAGGCTTCAGCTCATAGGTTCCTTGGTTGCTCCCTTTGTTGTTGTAAATGCAAAGATCTCTCAGCAAGTCTTTCAAGAATTGCTGTACCAAACCACATTCATTTTTCTCTTGAAATCTCTCAGTCAAGCACAGTCTGTCAATTTCATTTTGCTATACCTATGGTTGGTTGGTTTCATAAATGAGCTGCATCAAAGTCCAATTTGAATCTCTTTCAAAGAGATTAAACATGACCTCCTCCATCTCTCCCCGGTCCCTTCTGGTTCTCTTCATTTCCAATGTCTTATTTACCACTTTTTTCTTCTCCTGATACAAACCAAAGAGTGTTGTTTCTTCACATCTGTAATAATTCAGCAACATTTAATTTGTGTTTCAAGTCATGTTTAAGAGCTCACTATGCACTAGTTGGGCGCTTGGCTTCGGCCTAGTGCCTAATCAATAAATCGGGAATTTTGCGGGATTTAATTGGGGCCTAGGTTTTTGTATTTTTATTATAAAAATAAATTTGTATATTACAAATCCGAGATAACCAATAAAATGTATATAAATATGTATATTACAAATCCGAGATAACCAATAAAATGTATAATTGTGTAGTGGTTTGTGACCGTTTTGTTTCTGAGGCTGGTACTGTGTTCGATTCTTCAATGTAACCAGCGACTAAGGTTTCTTTTTTAAATGAAAACTAGATTTTGATCCGCGCTTGAGAAGCGCGGGTTTTATTTTGGTTATAACAAAATGTATCAAATGATTCTATTTTTATTATATGATAGTTTTATATGTAAAATTTGATGTATATTTAACGTTTTAGTAGGATCTTTTCATTGAGTTTTGCATAACCGAGTCAGTTTGTGATTGAACCGAGAATCAAAAAATTAAGTATTGTTAGAGTATGAAGAATTAAAACACATATTAGATTGAAACCAAAATTGGATGGGTCCATGGCCTATAGTAAATTTGAAAAATCAACACTGTTGAAAATGCCAAAATTGTATTACAAATTTGTAGTTAAATCCAATAAATATGTTAATTGCATTATATAGTTTATTTATGTTATTTAAAATTATTACATTTATGATTTTTGTAAAATAAAAATAATATTCAATTTTGACTCGCGCTTCTTAGATAATAAATTCTTAGATAATTTATTTATGTTAGTTAAAATAATTACATCTATGATTTTTGAACAGTAAAAATAATATCCAATTTTGACCCGTGCTTCTTATATAGTTTATTTATGTTAGTTAAAATAATTACATCTATGATTTTTGAACAATAAAAATAATATTCAATTTTGACCCGCGCTTAAGAAGGGAGGGTATTTTTTTGTTGACCGTAAAATAAAATATTAAATTAATTTATGAGAGTCAAAGGTAACTCAAAAATAATTTATTTATGAGAGTCAAAGATAACTCCAAGTATATAAGGTATAATTTAAATATTGCAAGATTCTGGAGTAACAAATGAGATTTGTTACTCCAAGTATCTCATTTTCTGTTTCAATATGCAGCAAATATAGTATAAATCGATTTTCGTCTATTATATCATAGTATATTGATCTGTTTTATACAACACTATGTATTTTTCATATAAATAAATCAGTCAATAAATCGTCAAGAAAAAGCAAATATTATTTAGAATGAAAATTATTGGGTGAAAACAAATTGCGATTTTGATTTAGCCATCATTAACGCTCGAGAATCATCATTACACGATTGTCAAAACATAACTAAAAACATTATTTCTAAACAAACATAATCCTAAAACGAATCGATGGAGAATCAACATTACCTCTGCGATTTTGATTCAGCCAGGGTTAACGCTCGAGAATCATCATTACCTCTGCGATTATAAATAAGTTTTAGAATTTAGTCTATACTATTATAAAGTGAAAATATTGAAAAAGATAAATACCGTTGTTTAAATTCATTTGTCTCTAGTATTTCATGATTAACAAACATCTGACTTACGTCATAAGCATTTGAGATTTGGACCTCACTTATAACCAAAAATAAATCATAAGCATTTGAGTTATTTCTTTTGCCAATCGAGGAATGTATGTCTTGTTACACGAGGCATGGATCTTACTTCCCTATATAAACATAAAAGATTATCATTTAGGTTAAACTTTAACGAAATGAAGATATCTAAATCAAAAATCTACACAAAACGATAAATTTACATTTGCATCACAAAGGATTAGTTCCATGGACTCCCTTAGTCTTTCATGAAATGCCTCCACGTATGAAGAATTTTGACTTGGATACGACATCAGTCTTCCTCGGTTTTATATCGCTCAAGAAAGACACCTGCAAATTATTCGCCAGTTTTGTTTTAGGGTTTTGAAGGGATGATAAATATAATGGTTAAGAGAGGCTATATAATAGGTAGGGACGATATACAATTAGGTTACGCGAATATAGGGGAGAATATTTCATACGATTTTTTAAAATATCTCTTTCGAGGAATAAGGAATATTTCTTGAAGATTTTGAATAGTTAGAAAGTTTAAAGTTTAACAGTTAATGGTAATCCAACTACGGTAAGTTACCAAAATTGATGGAATCTACGATATTGATTGTGATTAATCTATAACTTGTAGGTAAAGCAATTTCTTTATTTTAGTAAGAAGATAATTATAGAAAACCGTATTTGCAATATTTTCTTACCAAAACGTATCTCGTCCATTAAATGTCAACATGAGAGTGATGATATATCTTTTTTGGTTGATATCACTATATGTCGTCTAAATATGGTATATAAAGACAGATAAATTTAGTGAGACATGAAAATATATTTCATATATGAAAAAAAACATGAAATGAAGGTCTATAACACAATATAAATGAAATGAAAGTTTAAAGTCCATGTATAATGCATATACCAAAAAATGTTAACCAAAAAAGTATAATGTTAGAAATCTATAGATTGAAATCGTGTAATATAAGATCTATAACACAATATAAATGTATGAAATATAGTATGGTTTATAAATACGGGTAAATTTAGTGAGACATGAAAAAATATTTCATATATGAAAATAGATCATGAAATGAAGGTTTATAACACAATATAAATGAAATGACGGTTTATGTAGTTCATGTATGATGCATATACCAAAAAATGTCAACCAAAAAAGTATAGTGTTGGAAAATATATAGATTGAAATCATGTAATATAAGGTCTATAAGACAATATAATTGTATGAAATATAGTATGGTATATAAATACAGGTAAATTTAGTTAGACATGAAAATATATTTCATATATGAAGATAAATCATGAAATGAAGGTCTATAACACAGTATCAATGAAATGAAGTTTTATAAAGTCCAAGTATGATGCATATACAAAAAAATGTTAACCAAAAAAATATAATGTTGAAAATATATAGATTGAAATTGTGTAATATAAGGTGTATAACACAATATAAACATATGAAATATAATTTGGAATATGATTATAAAGTCCATATATGATTTATATACCAAAAAGTCAACCATAAAAGTATAATGCTGAAAATATATAGATTGAAATCATGTAATATAAGGTGTATAATACAATATAAATGTATGAAATATAATATGAAATGTGGTTATAAAGTCCATATATGATGCATATACCAAATCGTGTAATATAATGTTGGAAATCAATAAATGTATGAAATATAGTATAAAATATGATTAGAGTGATTAATGGGAAGAGAGAGAATAATTAATGGTTAGAGTAATTAATGGGAAGAGATAAAATAATTCGGGTATATGCAATATGTGATATGATTTGTAACAAATCCATATATATATATAGATGTAAGACAAAAATAAATTACCAAAATGCCATTAATAAAATGTGCACTTTCATCAGTCGATTTTTCAAGGGTGCCTTCACTTTTAATAGTATAGATACTATAAAACATTTGTCCTACATCGAAAGATAAGAGGGAGAGAGATATTTCACCTCAACTATAAATAAGTACATATGGTCTCCTTGTAATTTATAATTGGGCTTTTTCTATAGCCTGAAATTTTTTAATCAGTCAAATTTTATTCGGTAAAAATCGGTTTTATACCGATTAATCGGGTTAGTTGGCCGGTTATATGGCTGGTCGATTTTTCTGGCCGATTTAGGCTTAATTGCGGTGTTGGTATACTGCACAACGCCTAACCGGCGAGTAATAGGCCGCAATTTTATTCGGTAAAAATCGGTTTTATACCGATTAATCGGGTTAGTTGGCCGGTTATATGGCTGGTCCATTTTTCTGGCCGATTTATGCTTAATTGCGGTGTTGGTATACTGCACAACGCCTAACCGGCGAGTAATAGGCCGCGTTAACCGTGTTTTTGAACAAAGGTTTCAAGTGCTGAATTTTAAATACAGCAGCAGCGGTGGGGGATATCATACTCCAATGGCCACATACGCATTCCAGTGGAATTTTCATTGACCTGCTCAAGAAACTCCATAACCATGAAAAAATGCAGTCAAAAGATTTTAACCATCTTTAACAAGAGAAAAAACCTGGAACAGTTTGCTTTTGCACATATACTTGTCTGCTCTTTCATGGCAAAGGTGTCCATAGCTCTCAATGTCTCGTTATGAAGCCTCATGTCACATATGTTTTTAATCTTCCCTTCTACTGACAGGTCTCCTATAAGAACATGATTGAAAAGAATAAAATCAACACAGTTATGAAACAAAGTAAAGTTCCATCTGTGTGATTTGCAAATAAGGACATGAGAGAAAAGTACACTTAAAAGTCTCCTTAGAATGTGAAGAAGACTCACCGAAGACAAACATGAGGACGGAATCTTTATACATATCCAAGGCATAACGTTTTGGAATGTTTCCAAACTCAGCTCTCGCTAGTTCCATTACGACCTAGGTCAGATCAAAAACCAATCACATGTTCTATTACACAGCCAATAGAAACTCTGATCAGTGTAAGGAAACCACACGACATCTCCAAACTCAGCAAAAAAAAAACTATTTTTATGGTAAGAACGAAGAAGAACACGAGAAGAGAAAAAAAGAATGACTTTAGTATCATCGTCCACGAAAGCGAGAGGATCAATGGAGACGATGACTTTGGGGAGAGGAAGGTACGGGTCGTCCGGAAAAGGAAGAGACCTTAGAGAGGAAGAAACCGCATTGATCTCTCTGCTGAATCCGTTTCCAACCCACATGGATTCTCATCCTCCTTAGCTGAAAATTCGTCCATCTTCATGCAGAGTGACTATGAAAACAGAGGAATTTAAAACACGTTTATATATTTACTACATAGGCTGGGCACAGAATCTGAACCAGAAGAACTGAACCAAATCTGATCCAAAAATGTAAGACCTTCCCCATACCAAAACTATGGTTGAATATCCTTCAAAATATTTAGTCTCAGTGAACATAAATATTTCGGAATCATATTTATATATTTGAATAATTAATTATTTTCAGCTTTAATATCAAAAAAATATGTAAGATCTTTTCAAGTTATCCAAAATATTTGAAAATATATACAACTAATAAAAAATATCTAAAATTGTTAAACAGTACTCAAAAACAAAAAAATACTTAAAACATCCATTTATTTTCATCCAATATTCAAAAATCACACTACAATAAAACTCCGCATTTACTAGGAAATTTTACTAGGAAAATATTTACTCGTAAATTTATTACGAGATTACTTCGGTTTTACGAGGAAAACAAGAATCCTCGTAAAGTCCTCGTAAACATACGAGAAAACTGTTTCCTCGTAAGGCCGTAGTAATATTACGAGGAAACTACATGGCAAAGGAACATTTCCTCGTAATTTCGTAGTAAAACATTTCCTCATAAAGTCCTAGTAAAACCTTACTACGAAATTAGGAGGAAATGTTCTTTTACTTCAAATTAGCGACGAAAATATCTATTTTAAATCTAAAACGTGTTTTGTACCTACCTTTCCTAGCAATTTTGTTGGGGTCAAAATCGGTACGACGGAATCAACGGCCGAAACTCCCCGCAGAAATATAAAAGGAATCGTTTTGTAAGACCCGAAGAATCGTTTTATAAAACTCGAGGATCGTTTTATAAAACTCGAGGACCGTTTTATAAAACTCGAGAATCGTTTTATAAAACCCGAGGATCATTTTATAAAACTCGAGAATCGTTTTATAAAACTCGAGGACCGTTTTATAAAACTCGAGAATCGTTTTATAAAACCCGAGGATCATTTTATAAAACTCGAGAATCGTTTTATAAAACTCGAGGATCGTTTTATAAAATTCGAGAATCGTTTTATAAAACTCAAAGAATCGTTTTATAAAACTCGAGAATCGTTTTATAAAACTCGAAGAATTGTTTTNAAACTCGAGGACCGTTTTATAAAACTCGAGAATCGTTTTATAAAACCCGAGGATCATTTTATAAAACTCGAGAATCGTTTTATAAAACTCGAGGATCGTTTTATAAAATTCGAGAATCGTTTTATAAAACTCAAAGAATCGTTTTATAAAACTCGAGAATCGTTTTATAAAACTCGAAGAATTGTTTTATAAAACTCGAAGAATTGTTTTATAAAACTCGAGAATCGTTTTATAAAACTCGAGGATCATTTTATAAAACTCGAGAAGCCGTTTTATAAAACTCGAAGATCGTTTAATAAAACTCGAGGATCGTTTTATAAAACTCGAGAAGCCATTTTATAAAACTCGAAGATCGTTTTATGAAACTCGAAGATCTTTTTATAAAACTCGAGAAGCCGTTTTATAAAACTCGAAGATCGTTTTATAAAACTCGAGAAGCCGTTTTATAAAACTCGAAGATGGTTTTCTAAAAATCGAGGATCGTTTTATAAAACTCGAGAATCGTTTTATAAAACTCGAGGATCATTTTATAAAACTCGAGAAGCCGTTTTATAAAACTCGAAGATCGTTTTATAAAACTCGAGGATCGTTTTATAAAACTCGAGAAGCCGTTTTATAAAACTGGAGAAGCTGTTTTATAAAACTCGAGAAGCTGTTTTATAAAACTCGAAGATCGTTTTATAAAACTCGAGAAGCCGTTTTATAAAACTCGAAGATCGTTTTATAAAACTCGAAGATCTTTTTATAAAACTCGAAAAGCTGTTTTATAAAACTCGAAGATCGTTTTATAAAACTCGAGAAGACTTTTTATAAAACTCGAAGATCGTTTTATAAAACTCGAAGATCGTTTTATAAAACTCGAAGAATCGTTTTATAAAACTCGAGAATCGTTTTATAAAACTCGAAGAATCGTTTTATAAAATCGAGAATCATTTTATAAAACTCGAAGACTCGTTTTATAAAACTCGAGAATCGTTTTATAAAACTCGAGAATCGTTTTACAAAACTCGAAGAATCGTTTTATAAAACCTGAAGAATCGTTTTATAAAACTCGAGAATCGTTTTATAAAACTCGAAGAATCATTTTATAAAACTCGAAGAATCATTTTATGAAACCGCAAAAAACCAAAACAGCCGTAAAACGCGAACTAGTCACGACTAGTTCGCCCACGGGCGAACTAAGCCGAGCCGGCTTAGTTCGCCGATGGGCGAACTAGGAGGCACTCGACTAGTTCGCCCATCTGCGAACTAGGAGATACTCGACTAGTTCGCCCATCGGCGAACTAAGCCGGCCCATCGGCGAACTAGTTAAGAAACACTCAACTAGTTCGCCCATTGGCGAACTAGTCCTGTCCCGGCTAGATCGCCAATGGGCGAACTAAGAGGTGCTGACTTTGCCCCACTGGTTCTTTTCGCCTAGTTCGCCATATGGCGACCTAGCCAAGCTGAACTAGCTCGCCGTACGTCGAGCCGACCATCCCGAGCCTCGATCTCCCACATCCTTGATTNCGCCAATGGGCGAACTAAGAGGTGCTGACTTTGCCCCACTGGTTCTTTTCGCCTAGTTCGCCATATGGCGACCTAGCCAAGCTGAACTAGCTCGCCGTACGTCGAGCCGACCATCCCGAGCCTCGATCTCCCACATCCTTGATTCAAGGCATACGTCCTTCGACACGATCGTATTCCGAATCACGGTCGAAATGTCTCCTGTTTCGTCTCGATCCGTCCTATCGTTCGAGTTTTAAGATAAAAACCGTAAAACTCCGTTTTCCCGAAAAGAACTCGAAGAAATCGTCTAAAACGGTAACAGTTAATCAAAACACCGACTGTCGCCTAAACTATAAGATTTATCCGAGATTCTTCGTTAAGATTATAAAAAACGCGTTTTTAGTAAAAACGCGTGGAGAGAATCGTAAAAAACGGCATCGGATCAGGAAACGGTCTCGTTAAAGTCGTAAAACGGTTTTTATCGTAAAACGGCCCGAAAGGTCCTAAAACACGATAAAACCCCATCTCGCGACGTTAACGAAATCAAACCCGAAGATACGATAACGCTTTGACGGTCTACTCGCAGACGGAAGATAAAAGGCAAGTTTGAAGATAAATAGAAGATTTTCGCAGAAGAAAAGGAAGGATCGACAGATATGGAAAGTTCCCGAAATATTCGGTTTCGAGCAAAATGTAAAGACTAAAACCGCCTAGGGAGGAGTATATAAGGAGGAGGCATAGGGCAGAAGCTGAGGAACGAGTTTTCAGAGCTTTCACCACCAAACACAGCATTTAGGCAATTTTCCGTTTTCGTTATCGAGCTGCGTCTCAACTAGGGTTTTAGTCTTAGATTGCTAGGACTAGGAATTTCGCCGACGGTCACGCAGCTAAGGCAACTCTCGTTGTAACCGTTCTTACGCGAATTCGGAATAAGAATCCTTCTTGCTTTCAATCTCGTTTTTATTTTTATATCTTTCAATTTATTCATATTAATCTCGTTCTTGGTTACTTGTCGTTGGCTTTCGCAGAGATCCGGTTCCTCTAGAAAATTAGGGTTTTCCTAACTTTCCTTATTTTATGGAAATCGACAGGTGTGAATTTCGGTTCCCACAGTTTGGCGCTAGAAGGAAGGGGGGTCCGATTACTCTTACTCATAGCCGCAAAACGCTTGACCAAAACGATGTCTGGATGTATGAAAGACAAAGTCGCAACTCGCAAAAAGACGCTGGTAAAACAACTCCAGCAGCGACTGCTCCTACAGCCAACGCTCGCGCAAACGCTGTAGTACTCAGCAAAATCGAAAACCTAATCGCGACTCTTCGCCACGGAAAGAGCAACAAAACAAGCTCACGATTTCTATCTCATATCACTAAGGGCAACGATAAAATCTATCAAATCCCATAGTGTTTTTTTCTATTTCCGAGTTGGAAAAATCTCACGCGTTAAGCAAAAGACGTTTTCCAAGAACCTTTCGGGAAAATAAAACTTGCTCTCCCAGAAACTACGGAATAAACCGTAACTTACTCGCGAAATAAATCCCAGGATACTCGCGGAAAAACCGTATGTTATTCGCGGCAAAACCCTAGGTTGTCCGCGGAAAAACCCTAGGTTACTCGCGTAGAAAGCCTTAGGTGACTCGCGGAAAAACGTAGGTTATTCGCGGCAAAACCCTAGGTTGTTCGCGGAAAAACCCTAGGTTTCTCGCGTAGAAAGCCTTAGGTGACTCGCGGAAAAACCGTAGGTTATTCGCGGCAAAACCCTAGGTTGTTCGCGGAAAAACCCTAGGTTACTCACGGAGAAAGCCGTAGCTTACTCGTGGAGAAAGCCCTAGGTTACTCGCGGAAAAACCCTAGGTTATTCGCGACAAAACCCTAGGTTGCTCGCGGAAGAACCTTAGGCTACTCGCAGAATCGGGCAATACTATCCAGCCGAAAAGACGGTGAGTTGGCCAAGCAACCTAGCTTGCCATCTTTGCGAGCTGACCGGCTTTCCACCTCGTCCCAGAGGCACTGACTTTTTCCCGAGGGTCCGCACAATCCAACTCATAGCTATGGTGAGCCGGACCGTACTCTAAACAATAATCGCACTGCTTTTCGTTTCATCTCAATCAAAGTTTTCGTTGAGGTTTTACCACGAAAACAAGATAGCTTGATGAATCGGGACTGTGCTCGCNCCGCACAATCCAACTCATAGCTATGGTGAGCCGGACCGTACTCTAAACAATAATCGCACTGCTTTTCGTTTCATCTCAATCAAAGTTTTCGTTGAGGTTTTACCACGAAAACAAGATAGCTTGATGAATCGGGACTGTGCTCGCCGACTCACCATTAGGCAAGTTGGACAAGCTCGATGGA